TCTTTTTACTTGATCGACATAAATGGTCGTTACCAACCTAACAGCATTTAATCCTAACGAAACCACAAGCAAATCCCGAGAGTCCTGTTCCGCTCGTGAAGGATATATTTTTTTTTTCGACTATTTTTCACCTTGTTTTCAATTTCAATATTTATAACCAAACAGGCTCGTTCGGCAGGAGGGTTCGAAATCGATGGTTACCCAATGGGTAATACCCATGTCTATGGGGGTGTCGTCAACGTCTGACAGATCTTTACCAAATATCTCCTTGGCCCACCTCCAGCCTCTTCCCTCATCATCATTTTGCCCTTTTGAGTACCGCACACAATACCGGCCTCCAAAGAGCTTTTCATCCGGAGGGCTGGGACCAGCCAGAGCTTGGCGCGTGTATAAGGGCTCGATATCATCCCCGCCCCTTGTTACGGCCACGAACGATCATGGATATCGGTTTAAACTTTAAAGCAGGGCTTGATCCGCCGGGCTAACACATAGAGGCACAAAGCACCTCGTGCTTCTCGGTCTTCGGAAGGAAACGACGCTCGAGTAATTAAAAATCGATAAAACCCACTGCCCTGCTTCGCCCTTCCGTGTGGCTAACGTAGTGTCAAAAGGGATAACGTTGCCAGATACTTTATCCATCCTCCGCCTATGAATACGAGCCTCTGCTTGAACTATCTGTTTCAGTTATGAGGTTAAGAATTTAATCGATCTTCGAGGTTTCGCTATACGTTAGATTTTTCTGTTATATCTATGTATACTCTACCTATTCCCACTCGCAGCCCAAACATGTTCAGTTGGTTATCGGAGAATGGATAGGTTGGCTCAGGAAACTCAAAGTACAGTTACGCTTTCGTACAAGTTCGCACGTAGAACTTGGAGACCGAACTCGAAAGCTACATTGTACTTGCTGTTCTGTTTCACTTTGACAATAATCACTGCTTTGCGTAACTATTTTATCCTTTTCTATCATACCTGAATACACGTGTACCAAAACACGTGAACACGCTGATTATCGTAGTTTTTTATCGCTATGCTTCACTTATACAATGTGTTCTCGTAATACTTTATCAAGTGTATATTTGCAGTACTTGTGGATACGAGAAATAAGTTCAAGGTCCCTCCGTCGTATCGTACGATGCTCACAGAAGTTCTGGATGGCAATCGATATATGTTTCAAAGGCCGATTAATTAAATGTGTCATAAATAAACGTGAAGCAGAATGATTCGTTGGTTTTGTGGTACCAGGGAAAAGTATTTAGGTGAAAATATTTCTTTTAAATTTCCTACGATAGAGTTGTATGTTCCTACTTAGGTGGTGGATATTATGTCAGTTCGTCTCGCTAGGAAGACTCAAGGGTGAAATTGTGGTGGCAAAGCAGACTGGGCATAGGTAATGTACCTTTTTTAATGGGAGACTCTTTATGAGAGATGATGTTACGGGACGCGAATAAATCGACGTGGCTCAACGTGATTGTCGAGCGGAAGTGGCAGGAAGCGATGAAAGAGGGCGCGGGCTGTTCAAAAAGGCGTTAAGAAAAATAATTATGAGAGCGACGAGAAGATTTATTCGACGCCTCGTTGAATTCGTGGAGATGCTCCTTTCGCTCGGGCGCTCCTCTTCAGCTCGTTCGCGTTATCCTGACACATCGCGTGACGATAACCCTTTAGAAAGTTGCACCGGGTGCACCCGTTCATACATTTTTCACGGTGTTATACACCCGAGTGCATTTTTGCTTTATAACAATCGTTGCATTGAGACTTCATAGAGGGTTATCGCCCGAATAATTGCTAATTATTTAAAGTGATAACGATTTAAGTATAGATACGGAATAATTTGATTGTACGATTTTTTTTATTATCAGACGGATTATTTTACCGTATTAGTGACGGATTGTGGATTTTAATGCATTTTCTTACGTAACGTTATATTATTGATTTATCCCTATTTTCATGTGACGTATATACAGGGTTATTCATGGCAAACGCACCAGCTGAAGTTGGCCACGAATGGGTGATTTCGTAAATCGGAAGGAGCATCGTTGAAGAAATAAAAGTTAACGTCAAAGCACTATTAACATCGTGAGCCTCAAGATCCTTCAGTTGTTTAACACTAGGTTTACGGGACCCGTCAATTTCACGTAATTCAAACTTTGCAATGAAATATCTCGAAAACCGCTCGATCGATTTCAACCGTTTTGCATCGTAAATTAATCATTTCTTCTAAAGAATTTACACATACAGTTTTTTTTCCCCAAGTCTTTCACTTTTTGAGATTCATATATGGTATACCTATCTCTACGGGACCCGTCAAATTGACGGGTACGGTTATCTCGAAAATAATCCTTATATTTTTGCTTCGTTCGCCACATTATTCATTCAGTAGGAAATACAAGAGTGAAAGCAATGCCTTTATGATCTACGTTTTCATTTCGTTATCTCAATCTCGCCTCGATAGTGTAAACTAAAGCGGATCGTATGACCTGAGTGTTTAAGTGGGTCTGCTACGCAATTTTTATTTCCTATCGCCAAAAAGAGCTCAAGAGGCAAGAGGAGAAAAGAGGAAATTTATAAGTAACAGTAAGGCTTGTCACAAGCCACATGAAAACATCTCAGTAGATGAACAGTTATTTCCGACGAAAGTTCGATGCAGTTTTACGCAATACATGCCGCACAAGCCCCATAAAGTTCGGCATCAAGTTTTGGGGCAGTTGACGTGGAATCAAAATATATTGTGAACGGTTTCCCTTATTTGGGGAAAGACGAAGCCCGAAGCTCACAATCGTTGGGTGAGTTTGTCACATTGGCAATAGCCGAACCATATTTAGAACGAGGCAGAAATATAAAAGATAATTTATTTACAAGCATCTCGCTAGCTCAAGAATTGCTTGCGCGAAAAACAACGTCGGTTGGGACCATCCGGTCAAACAAACGAGAACTGCCAAAACCCGTAAAAGAAAAAAAAAAAGATAAGATGTATTTTGCTTTCCTCAGATTTATATAAATCAGAAAATTTCATCCTTACTGTATATAAAAGTAAGCCGAACGTAAAAGTCCTCCTTCTAAGCACCAGACATACAGGTGTACAAATAGAAGACAACCACAAACGTCTTCCAGAAACTATATCATATTATAATAAAACGAAGTTCGGAGTGAACGTCGTTGACCAGATGGCAGGCAAATACAGCGTAAAACCAGGCAATTTTCGATGGCCTCTTCATATCTTTTTCATTATATTAGATTTGGCAGCAATAAACGCGCGGATACCATATGAACAGTGGACCGGAGCGAAAATATCCAGGAAACAATACACGTTTAGTTTAGCCGATGAATTAGGTGCGGAAAACAAGGAGAACATTTGCCAACGATCAGACGCTTTTTTCATCATCTATAATACTACAAGAGCGAGAAAGTTGGCAAGTGGGCTACTGCAACAAAAATAAAAGCAGCAATTTTTGTATATCTTGCGAAGAAGTGGTATGCGGAAGATGCACAGGCAAAGTGCAATATACCTGTAAAAAATATAGTCAATAAGTAGGATTACCCGTTAGTATTATTGTTATTATTTCCATGATATATTTTAAAGGACTTTTTATTTCTCGATACTTTATTTAAACGCGAAGCCAACTAATTTTGAGTTAATTTGAATAAATCTGTTTTTTTTAAAAGAAAGTCCGTATTTTCATTGACCCGTCAATTCGACGGGAGCCGTAGAGATACGTATATAAAAAACGTCCGTAAACCTAGTCTTAATAAGGTCACACTGCCTCGACTGACGGAATCGTTCGATTGCGTCCGCGATCAGCTGGTGCGTTTTTAGTGAATAAGCGCGCGCCCATCTGTTTGTGTGTAACGAGGACGCCGCGGCTTTGGAAAAAGTCGGGCAGGTTTTATGAAAAATAATTGGTTCTTACATTGTGCGCCATTTCAATAGCCCATTGCGAACATCTGTGTATGCATGTTGAGGACGGCTGGGTATATAATGTCTGAATATGCTGGCACGAGAGATAACGGCATACGTGAGTTCATTTTCTGAGTGTACGTTACACGTAATATTTTTTTTAAATAGTCCAGCTGCTATAGTGCATTGCGACAACGTGTCGACTTTTTACTATAAGCAGGCTACTTCGATCGGCTGTCCGTAGGATGCGCGATATATATAGATATTTACATGTATCGACGGGTAGGGTGATTCTGTTGCATTCAGGGTTACGAGGTATTTCGTCGCAGGTAGCGCAATCGTAAAGTTGCTACGGGTAACAGATTTTTATGGCCGCCCCTGATACTCTCGAAGAATTTTGAAGTACTGTACTGAAGTACTGAAGTACCGAAGGCGAAGTACTTCGACTATCTGGAAATTGTCAGTTTGCTAACCCTTCGGTTTACGCGGGATCCTCGATATGCGTCTGTTTCCTTGATGCGCGTAAGTAGTGTATGTCTATATGGGATTATTCAATAGTAACGCACCGCCTGAAGGTGGTTCCATTATTGAAATAAAACGGAGAGAGATAACTTGGGAGCAGGGTGCGTTTTGCTTGACTAACCCTGTATGTTTATATACGTAAAATGAAAATGGGAAACGACTGGGACTGACGAAAGAGAGTGAGCAGTTGATTCTAAGAGGAAATAATGAAATAAGGGCTAAAGAGACAGAAAGAAAAGGAGACCGTTGGAGATAGAATGAAAGTTACGACGTGGGAAAATATAATATTAATAGATGGAAGTCATCTTTCGTGTTTTCTTTAATGTTATTATTCAACTTCTTTATTCTTGACTTCAGACTCTATCGTTATGTATATAAGCGACAATCATTGATTGACGAAGGAATAATTAATGAAATATAGATAAAATTATTATAACTTTTATTTCATATTAAGATTTTCATTTTGCTTTGTGGTATTTACAAGAATCCTTAGTGTTTGCAATGGTCCAGACGCATCGAATCATATACATATGTATATCTGAGATTTTACGTTTAAATTGATAAAATGAGTTCAGGACAAGTTTATTTTCGTTCACGTGTGTCTTCATGAATATGGTCGTTAATAAGAATTGATTAGAGATTTGGCCACGGAGGTCGCAGAACCCCATAAAATAAATGTAAAAAAAGGATAGTACGTAATAATGCAAAGAATTCATCCGCACGAAATTCTTTTATATTGAATGGAAATATTTCACGGTTCGTCGAATTACCTGAAAGCACGGAAAAATAAAAAAAGATTAACCCTTGGTCCTTCCCAACATTCATTCTACCCTTTGATCCTTTTCATTTCCGAGTGTTGGTAAGAACTGAAACGTCGAGTGGTACAACAGAAAATCCACGTAATTCGTGGATAACTTCCCGAGGAAGTGTGTGCTTGAGCCATGGAGATCCATAGAGTGATCTTTTATGGTCCAGTCCTCCTCATTGAATACTATAAGTAATTTTAAATTACATTAAAATGTCTAGTTTAACGGTCAAGTTGACTTCTTCATTTATTTCATGTTGGTAATACCGGACGATCTAATGGTATTGCAGGTACCTACTAGTACCGTTAGATGGCAGCACAGGTTTATTTCCCTTTAGCACAGCGACAATACGTTCCTCGTAGACTACGTGGTTCACATGTTCATTCGAGTTCGTCGCACATCCACCAGAGTGTGCTGGCGCTTGTGTCGTTCTAGTCAATCGATGCCTCTCATAGGTAAAACTTTATCGGATATGTTTGTGCGGGGTGTCAATCGATAGTTTCCCTAACTATAGTTCATCTAAGGGTCAGTGGAAAAGGTTTTTGGTAACAGAAAGTTAATAGATTTATTTTTTAAAATCGTTCAGGGTAAATTATCCGTAGCAACGTTTCCCCTCGTCAGTGCTCTTTTACGAAAGGTAATGAATAGTTTCTCATTGATTTTCATTGATTCACTGCAGATTATTTTCGGCAAAAAAAGCATTGCGAAAAAGAAATTTTGATATGGGTAATTATATTGACACATATGGTATAAGTTTTTAATTCAAAACGATTTGATTCTGCTCTGTATCTAGTTTTTAACGTACATTAAAATACTAATTCTTATTAGCCATTTTTAACCTGTCATATGTTTCAGTGTCTTTATTTGGTACAAAAATGTCACATACTGCTACAGACGACATACCGATGCCACGTATTTTGAATAACCCTTGGGTAAAGTTTGTGCCTCGAGGACGAACCCCAGAGCCATATATTCCAGTATGACTGATATCAATATTAAATGTCCACGACTGTTCCATCAAACGACGTTATTCCCTAATTGGGTTATCTCTCGGGATGAAAGTTTCCTGGTTTGCAATTTCCGAACCCTCGCAAAATTTGCATGTGACCCTTGTGATCAACGCTTGATAATATTTGGGAATATTTCGTGTACGCTGTTTCTCTGTGGTACAAAATCTATCGAGAGTTGGTCATTATTCCATATCTTGAAATTCCCAAGACAATGGAAGTATAAATTAACGACAGAATCATGGTCCAGGCAAGTTGGTCTCATAAGAGAATGGAACGCGTGTATTTACGTTATCGTATATATATATATATACAGTGCTGTTCTTGGTAGACCAACATCTCATGTCTGGAGGATGCTGTATTCACCAGATACATTCCTTCCGGTGCCAACAACATTCGCATTTACTAATGAAAATGAACGCCACCCTGGTCTTACCTAGAAGATTCATACGTTTTTGCAAAAAACTTAACCAGGTCTCTGGGTGGATCTCTGGAAGCACTATCTGCTCTTATTAATATTGTACTTTGCCGTGAATGTTCAGTGGCATAATTTCATGCAAATATAAACAGTTACTTGCCCAGTGACTCGAACAGACCTAATTCAATTAGGGATATTCTCGAGAATTGCTTTGGTATGTGGTACAGATTCCCTATGAAATTTCAATTTTTATTATTCACGTATTCCACAAATAGATTTGTAACTTCAATTTCCAGGATCTGGACTCCAGATAACGAAATTACGTTTTTTTTTATTTACCTATTATTTTTTAATTAATTCAGATATTTTATCTGACATCCGAATTGCATCAAACGTTGCTTACTACATTCCCCAATTCTTTATCCAAGCTTTTTCCTTAGGATCTCTCTTCATTGTTTGATCGTCTGCCAAAACCGGGATATCCGGCGGAATCCATAAAATCTCAATCAGCCTCTTCCTTTTTATCTCTCTCCCTATATGCGCAGATAACTGTTCTCCGTAACAGATTACGTTCTGCCATTCTCATATATGCGAAGGATCAAGACATTTAGCAAGCATTACGTCACGTATGTGTTCAGTCTGGATATCACGAACTGATCGTACTGTATATGTATACGTACTGAGCTTGCAGTTCCCTATCGTCCTAAATGCATATTCATGCATTTATACTGTTGATAATGAAGGTTATCCTGGTAGACCTAATCTGTAACTATCCTCCTGTCGTATTATGCTTTTCCGATTTCTATCCGTATCCCATGAAATTTACCTGGCAAGCCCACCATTACCTTATCGCGAGATGTTACGATTTCGTAGTCTAGAATCGCGTACAGTCCACCGCGTAATTACATAACTTGGAAACGAGTTTGTTCGAGCACCGTGCACCTAATCTCCAGGTTAAGGGCCGTACACAACTTTACCAGGAGTCACTTCAGTTGCATGTAAATGCGCTGGGCTTCGACACGAGCCATGAGCTACTAGGAGGAACTGCCTATATACCATTCGTGGACAACCACCATTTTTTGAAACTCTCCCTAGTTCCTTCATTCTTCATCCCTGTACTAAGGGAATTGTTTTGAAGGGAAAACTCGTTCCGACTGACAGGATCATTCTTTTCAGCTATATACTTCTGAATGATCAACCACAGATCTGCCGCACACTTAACAATATTTTTACTCTGGAATGACAAATTTTTTTAGGTGGTGGGTGGGGTTGGATTCGGTTGGGAG